ACAGGGTGATGAGCTCTGAGCCCTGAAGGGGGAATGGCATCCCCTCAGCAGGGRTGAGCTGAATGAACATACCAGCATGTGCAGTGATTGGCATGAGGTGAGAATTACAAGAGGAGAAATTGGGTATTTTCTTCTCCATATTGATGGATCTCTGAGAACCTGATGGAGTGAGAAGCCTTTGTGTTACACACAGAATAGGAAAGACTCAGGTTTGCTTGGCTTTAGGCTGGAATCCTTGCTAAAGAATGGCTGTGCTTATCAACACTGTGTTTTGTTTCTCTGTGGATCTTTACTCGCTGTAATTACAGCTTTTTTGAGCTTGCTGGGGAGGGGAAGAGAAGTATTTTGCTCCAGCATGAGCTGGCAGGGGCTGAATAAMACATTCATTTGAAAGGCTTCATCTGCTGATGACAAGCTGTTATTAGAGCCTGGGTTATGTCAACAGTAAAATTATATGGGCCTGCTGGGAGAAATCTCCCACTGAAGAATATATGAACTGGAGTGGTGAACTGGAGAGTCTTTGCTGGATTGTTTCTGAAGGACAAAGACTGAGACTGCWTAAAGATGGAAGAGGATTTTACAGCTCAAACCTTTAATTTCTCATCATTGTTCCTTCAAGTTTATTAGGTAAATGTTAGTGGTGGCTGCAAGCAAGCCCACGATAGTGCTTTAGCCTGGAAATGCAGCTGCAAGGCAGGTGGGGCACATTGCAGGASAGGTGGCAATGCAATACCCAGTGCATGCCTGCCTAGGAGACTGGTGTGTAGTCAAATGGCAGCTCGTTAACTGAGCTATGCAGCCATCCATGCATGTGCTCTTAGCCCACAGCTGGTGTGATCCTGCATGAATGCAGAGGTCACAGATAGGGTGGTGTGAATCTCTCTGGTAAGTCTGAAGCTTTATTGTGTCCACTTGCCCATCCTCTGAAGTCCCAAAGCGGGAGGGTACAGTAAATTGCAGTGGGACACAGTGTTTCATCCTCATCTGGAGTGCTTGGAGCCTGGAGTGGTTTGGGAGAGTTGCCATGAGTTTGGAAGGGAGGGTCACGCAACAGCCTGGAGAATCTCTGATCCTAAATATGAGTTCACCAGATGTATTTCCTTTTGATTTCATGTTGAGGCTTAACATACTCKTGCTTATGAGTGTTACAGCAACACTGGCCCTGTGTGTGCTTCCAGCCCAGTGTAGGTGCTGAGAGGGAAATTCTGTTAGTCTCTTTTATTAGGTTGTAATGACCCCAGCTCTCAAATGCTTTGCAGATTCTCAGCAGGGATCTGGTGTTAGCAATTTTGCTTTTAAAAAATAAAAATTTCCTTATTAAAGAATTAAAAAATATTTCAGACGGTCTGTCGCACATGTGTATGTGTGAGCTACACACCCCCAGCTGTGGGGCAACAGCAGTTCAGCTCTTCTGCTGGTGTGTGCACTCAGCAGTGTGCCAAGGGCAGGGCTGGGCTTTCTTTGGTTTCCAGCCTTCCTGTGGCATTGCTGTCTCTCCCAGGGTTCTGTTGCCTGCCCTGAGTAGCTCCAGTGGGAATGAGACGCCAGCCTGGCTGTGCAAACTCAGGAGTCACATCTGCTGCACAATGAGCAAAGAGTAAGCACAGGGAGCTAGAAACTAGAGCTGAGGAGCTGAAAGCACTGGAGCCATGATCAGCCTCCCCTTGTACGATTTTAGCTGTGTTTCTGCCGGCAGACATGCTGTAGAGTACTAGAGAAATGTGTGCTTTAAACAGTGTCTGTCTTTAGAAAAGCAAACAGACGACTTAGTGTGAAAAGAGCCAAGAGACTGCAATAAACTCTCAGATTAGACACTTCCATAGACTATAAATCAGATGGATTGTTTTGGTGTGACAACTTTTTTGCAGGACCTTTTTCATTGCTTGCTAAGAAGAGAGAGACTGATAGCTCAAGGTTCATTTGGTTCAGGTTATTGGTGTACTTAAATGGCCTAACAGCATCCATGTGTGTGTGATTGCTCAGGTGAATGACTGGACTGTATCATAATGTTTGGTGCCAGGAGACTGAAAGGAGTCACCTTGTGTTTTCTGTTTGGTGGGCTCTAGCCCTTCACACAGACCCAGCCAGGAGACTGAAAGGAGTCACCTTGTGTTTTCTGTTTGGTGGGCTCTAGCCCTTCACACAGACCCAGCCAAGARGAAAGAGCAGGCTGGGAGAAACACATAGTGGCCATATGAGAGGCCCTGTTTGCTCTCAGTGTTTCATCTTTATTCTAAAAGCTGGGCTCCTGCTCCGGGGTAGATGACAGATGGGGTGTGTCCAGGCTTGGCCACTCATTTAGGCCCTCTCTCAAGTCAGGAGGAGGTGGTGMTTCCAGGCTCACATCCTGGACCCGAGCATGGCACAGCTTGTTCTCACCGGTGCGTGGCTTCAGAGGCAACACACAGACCTCGTCACAGTAKTTCCTATGACAGATTCATAGCAGGACTGTGTTTAGGATGAAACAGTAGGGCTAGCCGGGCCTGTGCGGCAAGTTTTCCCGTGTGACTGCTGTGCTCTCCACACGGGCACGGCGGTGCGGGATCGCTGGTCAGCAGCGCCCTCTTCCTCCCCTGTGCGCAGGCCGGCRGTGGTGGACAAGAAAGGAGACCTGGCTACACTCAACGAGGTGGGCTACCAGCTCCGCATCTGACACAGCCATACTATGGACTTCAGAGGGCTTCCTGCTGCTGCCGCTGCACTTTACCTGCACTCCCTTGGAAGGACAGAGGAATGGGACTATTTATTAACTTATGTACTCTCACAATAAAAGTTTTACCTAGAAAATAGGAGGCAAATTTTTTTTTGGTGGCAGTATTTATTTCAATTTATAGAAAAGGCATCCGTTASGAGAACCTAAAATTAGATTTGCCAGGATATGATATTTTTTTTCTTTCCCATCATGTAGCAGGTGACTCCAGTGGTGTGAGTTTCTTAAAATATAAATTCCCTGTACAAGTATTAATTGAACTTGGCCTTGTGCTGGGTGGTAGCAYTGGAATAACTAAGAAATCATATTCTTAGTGTTAAGATGCGCTGGGGTGCAGTGCAATTACAAAAATGATTTTCACTATTAATTGTTAATTCAGCAATAAAAGCAAGCAGTGCAGAAGTGGCATAAGTTTTTAAAGTATCAATATTACCTCAGTAGACTTAATAGATATGCAAAACTGTCAGTATTATCATTTTATAACTAATTTGTACTGTTTCCCAACATTACTGGGAGTATTAAAACAGCACTGGATGTTTTACTGCCACCTGTATTATTATTTTTTGCATGTTGCCGAAAGATGTTAATAGTAATATGCAAGTGTATTCTTAACACTGACATCTTGTTAGGCAAGATACAAGGTTTGAGGTTTTTTAAATGATGATAATTGATGAATAATGAATTTTTAAACTTTCATAATTTTTTTATACTTTTGTTACAAGCTTTTAGTCTTTCCAAACTATACCGCTGAAGCACAAAAGACAGAGATTACTGTTTTGTARAGACAAGTCAGCTTTTTTTCTCATGTATGTAGTACCTGGAATAATTGAAAAACTGTCAGAATTGCTAACCTGAGTCTGTGTGCTTGTCTATCCAAATTTATGTGCAAATCTGAACCTTGTTTTTGAAAGGCTGAGTGGTCTCCGATGGTGATGCCTTGGCATCTTGTATTAAATCAGACATGGCAGGCTGAAGTCAGCCTTCTGCTGTGCAGGGAATTTTTCCAACATGTGTTGTAGTAACAACTGCATAGTCAGATTTGAGTAAGGAAGTATGTCTGAAACTGATGATAGTCAGGCTTGTCTGCTTCYTCCCTGCTCAGTCATTTTGTTTTAAGATTTGGCTAAGGACCTGTGATGGACAGCTGTGTTCTCAAGTGACACGGTAAGACTCGCTGGGGTCCACCGTTCGACTTAGTGAAGTTCTCTGGAAGCATTTGAGTGCTGCATTCCTGGAAGTGTTTCATTAGGTGCCTAAATATAAACTGGATTATTGTACAAGTCCAGCCTCTACCCTTTGTGCTGTGCTCATAGATGATACTGCCACGGGCCTGGTGTACCTCCCCTCCTGGGCGCTTACTTTTTTGGGATCTTGATGAAGATGGATACTGTCAGTTACAGACTGACAGTAGTGCTTATTCAGATTTAAGCTCCTCGAACACCTCTATCAGCCAGAAAATGGATGAATACAGAAGGAGACAATTGCTTATACACAGACCTCATTGCTCAAAAAAGTGAATTTCACCTGCCTAGGACAGGAAGAAAAAGCCAAGACTCAGCAACCTTCTACAGCCAGTGAAAGGCCTATCACTAATTAGACTTCAGAAGCTCCAGAATGAAAACTTTTCACRTCTGACACTTCTTTATCCAAGTTTGCCATATCAGTTACTGGAAGGCCTTTCCCCTCCCTCTTTCTCTAAACTTTTCCATTCCTGCGCTCACAATAAGGATTTTTTTGGTTAACAAGTGAAACTGAAGAGAGGAAAATACTCTTGGTAGAAATTTTTGTGTAATTTGACATCAGCTGCAGAGTTTTAGTTTTAAACTTTGTGCTGCCCAGTGTCTTGTGACCTAAACAATTTTTTTATGACTTCTCATTAATAAAATGATGTGGAAAAACTTTTGATCAGCTGTATCCTGTAGCACAACGTTATCTGATACGTTGCAAGTTTTTTCTATGAAATCATGGTTTACTTCAGCTCAAATAATGATTGTATATAGTTTCTAYCCTTGTCAGCACAATTTCTTTCTCTTAACTGATACTGAAGTTCTTTAATGCTGTAGAAGTGTGTAACAGATTGGTTTTGGTTCTTGTTTTAAARTTCTGCTGAAATATTCTCTTGAAACTTGCTTATGATGGCATTTGTCTTAAGTGTGGTTCAAGTGACAGCAAAGTGGTCAGATAGTGTAGAAAACATGCATGACTTTTTGGGCTTTTTCTCATCACTTGTATATGCACAGCATGAAACTTCAATAAAAGTATCATGGTAGTCTTTTTTTAATGACTTTTTTTTTTGTTCTTGCTCATAACAAGGGTTGCTGCAACTGAACAATGCTTTTAGCTCTAACCTGGCTGTACCCATAAAGTTGTTGCATCTAGTTAAGCATGCTGGCATCTATGAGATCACTTAGATACTTGAAACCAAATAGCATCCATATAAAACAAGGTTGTTATCCTCAGCATCAACCTGACTGCTAACAGGCAGAAGGAAAGCTCTTTAGTTACAACTATCTGTGACAAAAATAGCCCCCTCCAAATTCTCAGCAGTGTAAGCTGACTGTTTTGGCAGATGATCACACTTTGTAATGGAACACTCAGGAATTTTTTTTTTTTAATTCAGTGGGTTTTATGATTACTACCACTAGACTTCCTGCATTATTCYCCAAGCACAAAGTAATTGCAGTTCTCTGCAGTCAGGGAAAGGGAGTACAGATGAAAATTTCATAAGTGCTTCTGGGAGACGAATATATCTGAATGTGATTTCAGGACCATGGGTGCAAGYTTTCCAGCACTACACTGAAAGACAATTCTGTTACTGCAAAGTTGGTTCTACATACCCATGTGTTTTGTTTCCAGCCCCTCTAAGTTTCCTATTCAGGCTGTTTTTTAAATTATTTTGTAAATAATTTTGTTTATGAGTGTATAGTGAAAGTAAATATAAAACATTGATCATTTAATACCTGAGGATATGTCATTTTAAGATRCAACAAAGCATTTTTAATTACTAAGTGGAAAAAAGTAGCACCCTGTCAGGAGCTGTTCAATATGTATGAAGCCTCAAGATGTCAAAGGCTAATTTTTTTTTCCTCCTATAATAGATCAGTTAGGTTTCCTGTGACATGGTGTGCTCAGTAAGCTTGGCTTTATTTCAGAAATGTGTTAAAAGATTTTAGTGAATGCTACCTATATTTAAGCCTTTAGAATTTTAAGCAGAAAATTCTTAAAGCATAAMTATTTGTCTGTATGCCTTTCTTCCTTTTAAAAGTTCAATCTTGCAGCTTCTTCACCAAAAAGTCTCAGTAAATTCCTTTGCATAAAGATTAAAATAGAAGTGTCCACACTGCACATTTGCAGTAAAACATTATTTTCAACTCATTATAAGATGCTGCAAGCACACAAACACCTTCCCCTTTGCTTGAAGAAACACACAGATCTCAGAATAGTAGTTTTTACTGTGATTTACAATAAAAATAATTTACAACATATCCATGAAAAATAATGCCATTTTGAGTCTGGCACAGATGTTTTCCTTTACCAAAGAGGAAGCTAATGTAAAATCTTCTTTTTTCTCCCTAAAAGACTTCATAAAGTAAATTAAACTTTTGTTTTTAAAAAAAATCCCTTTAGAAAGTTTACTTTACACAGCACTAACAAATAAGCATGCAGGCAAACTTATTTAAACCGGACCAGCAGTGCTTGAATTTGTCTTTTAAAAAAATAATAATCATCCCATGAAGAGAGAAGGTAAAGGGAACTTTACCTACACAGAAAGTCCTTTGGATGTTACCGTTCAATAAGCCTGAACTCTGCTAGCAGTGGCAGGTGGTCAGAAGAGTTATTTTCGTTGGGAAGACCATTAACAGTCCAAAGATCTTTCTCTGTTACAAGTGCCAGCCTGCCAAGAAGTTTCAGACCCCCACAAAAAGAATCCTCTGCTCCTGTTAAAAAAACCAAACCAAAAGGAAATGTTCATCAGTGTGGGTTGAACATCACAYGTTCATACATATGTAGAAAGAGGAAAACACTATGGCAGCAATAATCCAAAGTTGTTATTGTTCCATGCAAAATCACCAATAGGACAGTTCATAAATTCTTTCGTGACTCTCTGTGTAGAGAAGAATCACTAGAGCATAAAATATTCAGAAGGACGCTATTTTGCACAGCGATTAATGAAGGAAAAAAGAAAAATGGATTTGTTCGTTCTAACTCCCTTGGAAAAACCTTGCATAATCCAGTCCTGTACTTCAGCAGAACAGCACTGCTAAACAGAGCTGACATTACATGGTGCGTAAAATTTAGATTTCCTGAGCTATGTATTCAAGTCAGATAACTATTCAGCAATGATACCTATTGCTTTTAGAGTGCAGAGATGATACTGAGCAATTTGAGTGCTTTCAGGACCAGCACAAACAGCAGCTGTAACTATTGACAGAAATACTTTCTATGTGAAAGTACTCAGCAAATTCAGAACTCACTGGCTGAACCTGGTACTGGCTTTCCATAAGACATCATTTAAAGGACTATCCAGCAACTGCTGAACTCCTCAGAGAGTTCAACAGCTTCGTCCTTTGCCATCTGCCAGCTTTCCAGCCCTTTAACAAYCCAGCAGCTGTTTGCTGCTCTAAAGAAAACCTTTTTTACTGCAAAAATCTCTTGGCAGCTCTAGAGCACATGTCCACCAGGTTTTGAGACAAATTTATTATTTGGGACAGGCACCTGCGTATCTACAAAGGAGCAGTTTATTGCCAGCTTGGTCTGCATGCAGTGATTAATGTAGCTCAGAATACTCTTGAACCAGCAAAATTGTGACCTGTAGGACTCAGATAGATCCTGAACCCTGATTACATGCAAATCCTGAACACCAAACCAAATATTTGGATAAACATGACAGAAGAAAGCATGAATATTTTAAAATAAAACCTTTTAAATGGAAAAAAAAACCAGTCAGCATAAGCTACATTTAATATTCACTTGTTCAGACTTTGGCAACTTCAAATACAGAGAAATCATTAGAAAACTGAAAATCCAATCCATCACTTAGTTTCCAAGAGCTCATGAATAAAAGCTATACCAGTTTAAAGTAGTTGGAAAATTCAATTTTGGTTCCATTCTGTGCTCTGATGTGGGAACAATTTGTTTAAAAAACAAGTGCAAAAAGAAACAAGTGCTGTATCTGCTGGGGCAATGATGATGCAAAAAAGAAATTAAACAGGTGAATTAAGATTAAATTTTGTGCATGGACACACTGTGAAATCACAAAGCACTCTATTAAATCACATGGCATTCAGAAGCTATTTAAATACGTCATGTATCCTGGTTTTTGAAAGCTTTTGTATTTGCTGTTTTACATTAAGAAAGCATTTACTATACATGTTATGACAAATGAGACTTTTGTGAATTGATTCTATGAATTTTAACAATCTAGTACCAATTTATAAGAGATGAGGGTGGTGTTTTCATTCCACATACTGGAAACAATGTTAATTTATAAAAATGAGTTGCAATCTACCGTGGGAGCAGGAATGGAATCCAGGTTTCTTTGCTCCTAGTTCTGCAGAGCCGTTTATCTGCTAGCACTGCAGTGTGGAATGATGCTTATGCTGATGGCATAAAACACAGAACTCAGAAGAGCATGGAAAGCAAACTGCTTAGAAGCACCCATGGAACGAGTCCCAGGGTAGTAAAGGATAGATAAGCATTGTTACTCATCGCAAAATTCCCACAGAGGTACCGCGACTTTCTTGCACCATCTGGTGACTTTTAGCTGCAACTGCAAACCAGAGAGGGACAGCTGAGCCTGTGCCAGTGACTGCTCAGAGCTAAGGCCACAGAGTCTGTTACTTGGCAGAAATTAAAAGTAAATTGCCAGAAGCAGCCGGTTTATCAGTTTTAATGCACATCATAAATTGCTGTTCACCATTGTGTTGATCAGATGATTGGAAATATTGCTTTGGTTTAGGTCTGGCCTGCGTTACTGACAGCAGCATTTCTCAGGTTCTACTTCCACTGCTGCTTTCTTCACCTCCAGCTTGTCTCCATGCTGAGATGGGAACTACAGAAATGTTCAGTTAGATGAAAAGGTTTGCCCTCATAAGGTGTGGCTCTCCTAGTCTGGCTGTGGTGAGCTGACAAGGCCAGCCACGTCTCTCAGGTAACAGCTGACATTCAAAAGCACTACCAGGAACCTCTGAGGGACTCCATATAGACTAAATTATCACTACATTTTTCTCACAACAGCAAAAAAGAATTCTTATTTAGCATTTGTGAAAAATAATTAAAAGCTGGTTTCTTTACCTGGCTGGGCAGCAATATCATCATTTGCTGCAGAATAGAAAATATAATCCACGGTGACAGCACTTCGGGAATGACAAGTTGTCACTTCTGGCATCCCAGTTTCAGGGAAGTAATGAGAATAGACTGAAGACAATTTAAAATGATGCTGYAATTTTGAAGATGACCTAAAGAGAAATCAAAGGAAATAATCTATTTTCTTGCATTGTCAAGAAAGAATAAACAATGAAGAAATAGTTCCTGGTTACAAAAGAAATGAATTATCTCGATATACAAACTAGTGTTTCTCTCCTGCAAGCCATCCCACAGCCTTTTGTGTGAGAGGCCTAAAACTGAAGGCAGAATGCAGGCAGCATTTTCAGGTAAAAGCTGATCAGAACTGCCTTAACTGACATTTTTATTATTGATAGCTTTCACCTCCATATACTTTTTGTAAGCATTTGTATATCATCATTCAGCAATTTGTCCCTGACACACAAGCAGAAATGCCCATGAAAACAGCTTATATGAAAGCAACAAAGCACAAACTCATCTAACTAGACCCTTCGGCATATAGGAAATTTCAGATTTTTTACAGTTTTTTCCTCCCCTAAACTACAGGTATGAAGTGCTTCCAAGTTAGGCTATGCCTAGTATTCTTTCTTCCACTCAGGCTCCCATTTTCTGTATCCCCATCATTTGTCTGTTCTTCAGTTCAGCCCATCTTGTCTCACCTTTTTAAACCATCTGCAAAACTGCATCTTTCAGCAAAAAAACTCCCATCTTCCAGACATTTGCTTCCATCATGTCTGCAAACCATTCATCCCTCAGCTGTACCTRCCTCATCTTGCATTTAAACCAGCAATGTATTGTCATTGAAACCCAAGCAATTTAAAAAAAAAATCAGCTTGTTACCTGCCTGATTCAGAGCAGAGACAAACATGCCAGTTGGTACAACACAGACAWTCAGTAATTTCTGCTTTTGTTACATGATATCCCTTTTAGGATGGAGGGGGGGAAACCCTGCAAGAAGCATTCAGCATGCTGTGGCTTTAAACCATAGCATAGGGCTTCCTGTTTGCTATCTGCTTCTTTTCTCAGAAATGCCCATGACTTATCTTTTTCATCACCAAGAGTTCTAATATGACTATCTGCAGTGATACCAAGATCTTATTTCTGATAAAAAAGGGCTGACTTGGAGCCTGATATCATATATATACATTTAGGGCAATTTCCTTCTTCTRTGCCTTACTTTATAYGCCTTTACCAGCTTGGTAAATGCAMATATATTCTTCCTTTCAAAAAGCAGTTAGATTTTCCTTCTCAGCATTCTAGCCATGTCTTTCTCCTTCAGTTTAACAAGCAAATGTTTTGTTTGAATGAAAGTTGTATTACCAAATCCATAATACTCCATATTTCTCMGACTCAAGGAATTTAAATTCTCCCACAGAACTCATGAGAAGGAGGATTTTATGAGCTTTCCAGTTCCTTTTCCTCCTTCRTGCCTCCTACRTATGGATTTTACTACATCCATRRACCAGTGTATCAAAAACAATAAAARGAGAGAAGTGACAACACTTAAGCAGCTGGACAACACTAGTTAATTTTTTTTCTCTCCCTCTTTTAAAGACATRGCTTCTGCATCCAGACTGAAGTTCACATATTTCTTGCAATGTCCCTACAAAGCATGATGTCCTGTTCATGTCAAGAAGTGACAAAAAATGCCAGAAGCATTCTTTTAATGAGCAGACAGAAAGTACCCTCTAAACAGCACTGACTTCTCACCCCTGCATTCTGAAAAGATACCTGCAAGATCCTCAAAGGACACACATTCCACTATTGCCAGTTCTAGCCTTTTGCTGTCTGATCAGCATTTTCATGTTTAAATGGACAAAGATGGTTTTGCCAAAAGGGCAGRCTGGGTTGGTTGATCATCAGGTATCCACAGCTGCAATCAGACATAAATTTGGTCTAAAGCCAAAATCAACCCCCAGGTAACCAGCCAAGGGCTTCCATATTTTTCCCCAACACATACTTTTCAGATATTACAATCTCCTGAGTGTTGTCTRGTTTTGCTGCTTCCAATTTTTCTCCTGCAAAATAAAAAAAAAAATTAATTCACATTTAAAAATAGGATATAAATGAGACCAATCTTGAAGAGCTACAAAAAAAAAAGTATCTTCAAGTACACTTATTTTTTGCAGCAGGCAAGAGACAATTCACAAAGCTGAATTAAATTCTTCTGTTCCATTAGAAACATCTCTTTTAAGGTTTCTTTTACATTATGTCCCATTMATTTTAAAATGTTTTTTTCTGTCAAAGAAAAAAACAGTGGATGAAAGATGTAGCCATAGTCAGCAAGTAATCACTTGCTTTTCCCAACTGTTCCATGAAGTGCMAACACTATAATTCATAAACACTGAGGCAAAATGCAGGTTCACACTATGTGCTGCATTCCTTYACCTCTCCCTTCTCAGTCACAGCACAACTGCTTTCATGATGCAAACACAGGAATTTAAACATTACACACCAACCCCTGAATGGACATTCCCAAATATTATACAGATTCAAATTTGCAAAGTTTATGTGAATAAATCACTTTACACTCTAATGAGCTCAACAAGGAAGTTTTGTAAGCTCAAGACTCACTGTTTTTCCCACTAGAACAGAACACATGGTTTTCACTACCACCTGACTGACACTTTCAAAGGTTCACAAAAATTCATTAATCCAAAAACCGACCTGCATTTTCTTCTTTTTGTTGATGTTTCATTTCATATACACAGTTTTGGGAAATACCTAATTTTTTTGGCCAAATTGGAATAGATAAGATTCTTTGTCCCCTTGGAAACTGTTCTTGTCCAGAGACCTGAAAAAACCACAGAAGTCTTTTTTCAGACAGAACTCTGATTAAAAAACCTCAAAAACCACCAAATAAACCTGAAATAAGGGAGCATTTTTGGTAAAGTTTAAAAAAAAGACCCAGCCTCTTAGAATAAYTCTTTTATACATCTTTATGTACATCCCCTTTGTTTACCCTTAGCAAGTTCTCTGCAGCTACCCACTTTTTTGAGATAGTTCTTGTGACACCAAGAGACTTCCAAGGACCCTTTTAGCAATGTGACAGGACTGGGTCAAYATACAGAGCTACCCAGCAGACACTTCAGCTTCAGGATGCTGATCCTTCTGGGAGCAAGTCAAGTCAAGTRGGGGCTTGAATCAACTACCCACTAGCAAAGAACACCAGCAGGGCTATTTTTTTGTCTTGTTTTCTCATTTTATGTCACTTAGTCACTCCTATTAAATAGCATGTGACACATCCAACAGCTGCACACAAGGGCTCACAACAAGACATCATTAACATGAAACAGCTGAGGTTCAGCATTTAATTGCAGCTTTGCTTTTACAATTACTGTAGACATCAAGTTTAGATAAAGTAAGAGTCATCTTCCCACAGCCCACACAGTAGGTTTTTGATTAAGTAGTTATTTTATCCCACTTAAAGAATGGGACACTTAAACACAGTGATAAAATCATCCCAACAGCGTGAAACAATCACCCTGTGGATTCACTGCATTTCAAGAATGGTGGTTGTGAGCTTTTCCTTTCACAATGCTGGGAGAGGATACAATGTTCCCTAAGGCACAGCTAATGCACCCGAGCTCATTTAAGAAACTGCAGCAAGATTTGCTTTGCAGGCTGCAGAGGGGGTACTAAGATAGGGAATGGAGACCACAGCACCAGTCAAATATTCCTCTTTAATCAGCATCAACCATTTTTTTTGTGAGAMATGAGAAGCACAGCCTACCTTCCCTATAGCAAGTCCTTCATAATTTAACTTTCCTTCCTTTATAAATCTGTACAATGGAGAGCCAGGAACAGAGTTGAAGTCCCCACAGATGATAATTGGGCAGAAGGAGCCATCMTTCTGCCGGGCAACGTTGGCTATCTCTGCCAGGAGCATTGCAAGCTGGGTCAGTTTGATGTCCCCTCTCCTTGGGTTGTACAGCAGGTGAGTATTGGCAACACAGATGGCAGCATTGGCTTTACAGTSAAATCTGGGCTGCAGCAGCAATACCAGTCCAACGTTGTCCCTGTCCAAGAGTGGGATATCATGGCGAAAAAATTCCACRTGTTTTGAGGAAATCAGGCTAAATTTGGAAGTTTTGAAGCAAATGGCACAGCCATCAGGTTTTCTCCCTGTCCTCATTTTATACTCACAGTGATACCCTGCAAGAAAGACAATTAAAAACATAAAATACTATTGTACAGATACTTTAAAACAAACAAAAAAAAAAAACTAGAAAAATCTCACGCTGCTTTTCTCACATGACAGTCAACCACCAGTCTGAAGCACCAAACTCTGTATGAAGTTCACATAGTCTCATGTTCACTTTTCCCTCTGCCCTAATCTGAGCTRAAGCAAGGCAAGACAGGAAACCTGGTCTAACACCTTTTGCAATGTGTAAACATACTCAGATACCAGCCATGTTCTTATCTCCTCATGTGGAAAAAGAACCCAAACCAAACCAACAAAGCAAGCCCACAAGTCACATAAAAGTGGGACTTGTGTATTAAAGTTTTTTCAGGATGTTACAAGAATGGTTTATGAGTAATACCAGTGAAGCATTACCAATCAAAAGCCTTAATCACACTAAGTCATTATTCAATGTCTAAAGTGGTTTCTAGAACAAAGGTCTCAAACATATTTACATAATTATGCAATTATCTAGTGAGCAGCAAGTGGCAAGCTTTCACCAAGGAAACAGAGACACTTATCAAATGATAACACTGGAGTTCAAACAAGTCCATCTAGAAATAATGATTTGCCAATTTTTTCATTTTATGCAGATATGATTTAAACAAGATTTAAACAAGACTTTATCTAGATAAGAAAAAAAAATAGACCTTGAAATAGTATCTATTTTTTCCCATTTTAAAATGTTCTTTGCCTTGCCCAGACCATATGAATTAATGAAGTAAAGCCTAGTGAAGTAGGATGATTTGACCTGAACTCACACCAATGCTGGAACACAGGATTCCCATTCCCATCTCCCAGATTCAGGCCATATTGCTCTTGCCCCTTGTTGTAGCACTTATTGCTAACTCAGGAAGC